AGCTAGTATTAGAAAACGTGCAATTCAAGCATGAAGCGAGTAACCAGCACAGCTGTGCATTCGATTGGTTAATATCAATACAGTATTTAAAATATAAGGAATTGGTATAAAATTAATTACGAAACTTCTGGCTACTCCTGAGTTGCCTTTCGTCGTAAGATAATTGTTCCTATATCGTTCGGATGATATTAAAAGTTGTCGTAAGATAATAGTTCCTATATCGTTCGGATGATATTAAAAGTTATATAACACTTCACCACGCATTCTGAGGAGTAACTTATAAAAGAATGCTGCGAAATTCACCGCAAATGTAAGTACTGGCTCTCGGTTTAGGAGTTACACCACCACCAGCTGGACTTAATATAACGGCTGTATCTTATCACCATCAACATCACGACGTTCGACAATAGCTTCTCAAATATCGGTACCGAATTGTTTTGTTGTGCATTTTTATTAAGCTTTGCAGATTGCTTAAAAAGAAATACATCAGAACATTTGGAATACAAATCGAGTAAAAAGTAAAAAAGCGAGAGGGTAACAACGAAATGAATATTGGCATTTTCAAGAGTAAATGAAAATTAAATTAATTCTTTTTCATAACATTCATTCAATTTTTTGTGGCCCGTAATAGGTGTGAAACCTGTAAATATTTCATTAATATGAAGCAGAAATCTACTTTTTTTTCTTCAAAAATTGTACGTGGCCTTTTTTAAAGAGCTTATTTTGTACAACAGACTTTGCCTAAGGCAAAAATCTCTATCTTCTATTTTGTAGTTTTGAAATTTTCGAAAAAAAACTAGCAATACCCGAAAATGAGGCTAGCGCTATATTTCTTACAGTTTCTTATTACATATATGGAGAAGATTTAAAGAAACAATTTGGAGCGGTTTGGGGAATTTTTTTTGTGGAAAATTTCAGTCTCAAAATTCGCAAAAACTACTCTTTTTCTAAATTGTAAATAACATTTTCTGAAGAGCTAATTTTATACAACAGACTGACTGAGGCCAAAATATCTATCTTTAATTTCGTTAATATCTATCTTTAATTTTTTTAATTTGCAGAAAAAGAACAGTGATACCCCAAAATTCGACAAGCACAATCTTTTTTAAAGTTCTTATTACATAAATAAACTGAAAGAAAAAAATTTGAAGCGGTTTTTGAGAAAAAATCGAAGATTTTCTATTATAGTGCGATTTTTGAACATTTTTTTGAAATTTCGCATCTTTCTTTGTCGTGCCGCTAGATGTCACATGATCGCGACTGTATCAACCACTACTTGATACGGTCACGATATCTTGCGGCACGACCTAGAAAGACGCGAAATGCAGAGACATAATGCCAATCTACAATTTGTTTGCTTAATGAAATGTGTTTATCAAAAACATATCTTCAAATAAGGTCATGTTGAATTTTTCGAAAGAATGACTAATTTGGCGTCAATCACACTCACCCACCTCGATTTCTTGCGCTTCGTGAACGTAATTTGAGATGTGCTTGGAAGAAATTGGTGCTACATAAGGTAGAGTTTGTATATTATTTCACATTTCTTTGTTCTTTCTTACATTATAGCTTTTGTTATACGTTTACAAATTAATCTTCTAGAAAGTATTTAAAACCTATTTGATACTCCGTATTTTGTATCGGTGTTGCGAGGAATGTATTTGCATTATCAATGTATTGACGTATTTCCTTTCAATCAATTCGCAAACCATAACTGAAATTAGCACAATTAGGTTTTCTCTCTTTAAAATACGAATTAAATGTTATATGAAAGAAAAATTGCTAGCCTTAAGAAAATATCTGATTGGAATGCGACAGAGGCATTTCGCTCTGCGAGCCGGCAGGTGTAGTTCTGTGAATTCCGTCTCATTGTTGGGGCATTATTTAGCTGTATTGAACACAGTTATAAATGTGTTGATATTGGCTTGAAAATGCGTAGTTTTCGCATGTAATGTTTTATGCTTTATAATGAGTTTTAAAAAATGACCGAGATGTGTTAATTCGGAGAAAAAATTGTGGTATAAATAGTAAGACGTAACGATTACTGAGGGCGACAAAGTATGTGCTGTTTTACCACCACTAGTTTAATTAGAGGACAATGTTTGAACGTAAGAAGTAGAGTTGCCCTTGAGGAATAAAAATGGTAATTTCAAGTAAATTTTGGAAAAGTCTCCGCGAGACCATCTTAGATTTTGATGCAATTTTGTATGCCGAGATCCACGTGTCTGAAAGGAACTTAGTGAAGTTGTTGCTTTATAGGTAACATTTTTTTTTTTTATATTTAGCGGTTTGTTTGACCCTGTGCACAGTCGTTCTACAATAGGGCATTAGATTTTCGCAAAATATATTATTACACAATTGTTGCAAATTACATCTACCTTTCTTAGAGCAGCACTGAAGACTCTTATTATTGGTAGTAATGCAGATACAATTTATACATCTTTATTTATCACTGAATGAGTGTACGTACGGGGGATCTCATTTTCGAATCCGCCAGGGGTCTCTGACGTTCTAAAAGCGACCCTGCTTACGTTAGAGATACATTGTATCTCTCCTCTATGCCCTGCTTACTTTCAAAGCGCGTGGCGCGCGTGTTTACTGTTTTGTTTACGAATTAACAAGCGGAGAAAGTGATTATTATTTAGGGAGTATTTATTTTTTCATTTTAAATTGATGTACTACGAATTATTAGTGTTACTTATTTTTTTATAATTAAATCTGATTTTACGTTAATGCTCATATTACGTCAGATACAGTGCAGAATAAATGTTGTGTTATCTTAGCTTTAACGATGTACAAGAAAATACAAATTTTGGACAATGATCGACCTACTTCATGTTGAGTACAGTTGTACATCATGCCTGGCGAGGAAAGTGCAAGAAAATTCAATCCTCCGTGGTATGATTCCCACAAATAGCTATCAGGTAGTGAAAATAAAGCAAAGCTTTATTGGTACCCATGTCTTTTATTGTCAACTGAGAGTACTTGGAATAGAGATGGATACTTTTACGTGAAAAATTTATAAAAAGCATATACAAAACCATGAACTGTTAAAAGATCACATATGTAATTTAGTGAATCTTCAACGCCTAAAAAAATTAATTTGAATTCTGGATTTTTGTCAGAGCAACATAAACTCGCAACATTTTTTAGAATCTGAATGTTCTGAAATCGTCTGCGTGTGCTTAATGGAAATAATGCTTTGAAATGTAGTGATAAAATTTGAATAAATTAAGTAAAATTTAAAAATAAATAAAAATAAAAAAAAGATCGACGTGGGCCATGGCTCCCAAGCCCCCCTTCCCGGAATCCGCCGCTGTTCAGTAATTTTTTGCCTGCCCTGTACGAAGCGCGAATCAATGGGGATGGAAAGAAATCCCCCCCATTCCCTGAAATGTTTCCGTCATTATTAATTGACATGAAATTGATGATTAATTGACATTGAAAAAAATCGGATTATCATTAAAACTAATAAAATCGTTTCGCGGCATGAGCTGAGTGTAGCCTCCGATATTTTAAAAAATCTATAGATTTGTGAATTTTGTAAAATGTGCATTATATATAATATGACATATTCGACAAAAACGTTTTGAATTTCCCCTTCCAATGGTCGTCTTTAGATTCGCTCCTGTCTGAATATATTTTGTTCATGACCCGCCACTGCTGGTGTGACGTCAGTTAATGCCCTGAGCCACCAGAGACGTTTTGTTATAGGAAATAACTGGCTACTAAGAATTATCCATTTTCGATATCAGGTACGAGTTTTCTCTTCCATACGAGTTTTTTTTAAGTTTTTATTTTTTGCCGAAAAATCGTCACTTTTAGTAATTGACATCTCTCTCCTATTATTTTCTTAGGCGAAAATGCCTTCAGACTTCGCTGAGAGGGGGTAGGCAAAAATCCTCGAGCCTGCCTTTTATATGCGAGATTGGCGCTGAAACATCTAGGTGACATGTATCCAAGTGGAGTACAAGACGCACTTTTTCTTGATATCTTCACTTCGTTAGATATTATGAAAATGGGGGGAGGGGGTTGCTTATATATCTATGCACTCGACGAACGTTAAATTGTGGTGCAGATTCAGGAGACACTGCACTTGCGTAGTAATCTCTATCGCTGCTCTGAAAACATCGAATACAATCTTCGGATTGTAATCGCGAGCTACAAATTGTAATCGCTTAACTCACTGAGAGAAATGTGTTGAAGAATTGTTAGTAATTTGTGTCATTTTTGTGTGTGTGTTTTCTTAGACGAAATATGCATGTACAATTGTTAACCGAGACCGCTTATCGAAAAGTTAGGGAGACAATGTTTTTGAAACGATATTCAGTGTAACCCCTCTGTGACGCCAAGTACAGATTCCTCGCGCGGTCTGACGCTGGTCTGACGGGTTGGCCGTCCGATTGACCAGCCGATCCTGCTTTCCAGTGTTCTGAAATGTTTCTTTCGATGATTATCCACATTACGGAAACTTTGATGATGGCTGGTGACGGTAGAAAAAAAAGAACATTCTGGATTAGAAATGTGCATTCTGTACGGAATTTTTCTTTCCTTTTTACATTGTTTTAATGCAATAATGAGGTTTTCAAACTGAGCGATTTACGTCTTATAGTTGTGAAGCGATTTGGTGATTACTATGCATTTCAAATAGTATTGTGATGGAAATATAATTTGTTAATTATCAGAAATTTTGCATTTTGCGAAAATACTTTACTGGACCGTTGTTGTACGACGAAATATTGCATTTACAGCAACGGCATATCATCAATTAACTAATTTCGTCAAATTAATGACATACATTTTACGACTATTTATATGTCGTGAAGAATTAACGTTGTAATATGTTTTTTCAATAATGAATGTAGAGTAATTGTAAGCATTAATAACTTGAGTAACTATTAATGATCGATTGGTAATGGCTAGTTTTTCAAAGCACGTGCCAGCATATGCAATTTCAACACAGTGCAGAAGTCGATCCAATGTCATTGCCCTGACGCGCGTGGGCGTTTTGGCAACAATATTGCATTGTTGGCCAACCTGCTTACGATCGTCTTTTGTACGATATGGCAGCGAAAGTAGTACAGCAGTTTGATCCTCCCAGCTCAGCAAGTTCGGAAAGGTATTGTAATTTATATTGTGAGATTATTATTTTTTCTTTGTCTATGATTTATGTGTTTATACACAGCATTCTTGTATTCTTTTTGCCCTTGGAAATTTGAGTAGTTGTTACCGGTAGACTTGTGTTGATACGTGCACATGTGCATAACCAAAATGTCAAGGATCACAGTCATTGATCACGCGGTGTATCGATTTCCTTTGATAAAATGATCTATAATTTAATTTTTGCTTGAGTTTATAATGGTAAGAAATGACAAAATAGTACTCATTAACATTAGCTTGGTTTTTTAGTAATGTCCCATTATTGTCGTAGCGATGTTGGTGATACGGAAGTCGTGGACCAAGTGTTTGTGCAGGATGATGCTGAGGAGGAAGAAGAAAAGGGGAGTGATGTGTATCCCGTGGCTGCAACTCCTCCCCCAACTTCTCCACGACCCCCATCAACGGGTTTGTAGAATTTTTAATCGTCCTGTTGCTTTAAATTCGTGCGAGTTGTGTACCAAACACTCCAGATAAAGTCATTTCAGATTTTAAATATCAGGTTCTCTTCAAAAATCTCCTCGTTCAAAACGTCAACGAACTGCTTCTATGTCTCAATCATCAAAGAAGGTAACAGCAGAATCCATTCTTCGCAGTCATAACCGTACCATTTACACAGCAGGCCGTCCTCCGTGGTACAATTCTGCTGGCCAACAAGTAGAGCCATTTGTTATTGGTAAGAATGATGGAACTGTTACATATGGTATCTGAAAATTATAGTGTTTGGTTTTCAATATGTTTTTCATTCCAGGTATTTGTGGAGGAAGTGCTTCTGGAAAAACTACTGTTGCTGCCAAGATAATAGAATCATTAGATGTTCCTTGGGTCACACTTCTCAGTATGGACTCATTTTATAAGGTACATTTATGATAAATGTACATTGATAAGAGACAAATTACTTGGATGACAAAATCAAGTATATATTGTAGATCTTGTGATTTATATTAAACAGTTCTGAATGTAAGTCATTTTATGTGAATCATTTAATTGTTGCAATGATATGGAACTTTCTTACTCAAATGGCAGTAGTAATTTATGTTGCTACATTACTGCTGTATCAAAATCGAGGTACATGTTCTCTCAAATGAAAATTGCTTCTATTCTTTAAATCATTAAAAAGAATGGCTTCCATCTGAATGTATTGAAACTTTATATTCTTCATAGGTATTAAATGAAAAGCAACATAATCTAGCTGCTAAAAATGAATACAATTTTGACCATCCTGATGCATTTGATATTGACTTGCTGGTTGAAACTCTTCAAAGATTGAAGGAAGGGAAGAAAGTGGAGGTTCCTATTTATAATTTTGTGACTCATTCCCGAGAAAGTAGGACAGTAAGTTTTATTGAAGATTTCCTTGCTCGCTTTATTTCTCTGTTAAAGCACACTAATTGAAGGCTTGTTTTTCAGAAAACCATGTATGGTGCAAATGTGATTATATTTGAGGGAATTCTTACATTTTATAGTGCTGCAGTATTAAAGGTAAGAGACAGTTTGTTTTTTTACTTATGCTTTGCAGCCAACTGACAGAAACAAAGTGGAGTTGTTTGCATTATAAGTACTCATTATATAACTCATTTACTGCAAGTTTACGAATGTTAGTACTGCTGCTATTAGATTAGGAATCTCTTTGGTTTTAGCATCTTATTCATGTCTGAATATAGGGTATTAAGTCAGAGTAAACTGTAAGAGGAGCAAAAAGCATACAAATTATGTGTACAGAAGAAAATTAATTCATAATAAAACTGCGATTTGTTTGAAGCGTGGTGGTGACTAAATTACTTGAGTTTTGCTGTGTAGGTCAGAAAGTGTGATTGTGTTTCAAACAGGAATTGTGTATTCATGCGTAAAAGTACATATGTGATGATGATGGTGATGATGATAATAATAAAGACTATATTATTGATTTTTCAAATACCGATAAACTACTGCACTCACTTTTATTTATTTATTTCATAATACGTGGATATTTCCTGTCCAAAATACACAATAACAAAAATACAGTTGACAAGTGATTCAACCTAATAAAATTTGGGCAAACACAAATATTATTTATTTATATGAAGTGATTAGCAGAAACTGTCTTCATTTCGTTGGGTCATCAAGTGGTTATCAAAACAATTGCAAGCACTAGTGAGAAGAAATAAAACAAAATTTATAATATGTTACTTTTCCTTATTTCTTATTATAGTAATATAAATGGATTGTGAAAAAGTATTCAACATTGCAATTCACTTTTAAACAATATTCAGGTTTTCAGTATTAAGATCTGAAAGGAAACCACGTATGCATAGATTCTTAATTCACAGGGGTTTGCAGAAAATTGAACTTGTTGCAGTTTCTTTTCTGACATTTGTACTTGTAAGTTGTAACTTATTTAATACTATTGTGTTTCAATCATTTTCGCAAACTGCATAAAGGGCTGTAAAGTGGACATCTTTCACACTAGATTCATCAAAGAAATTAATTTTTTTCATGTAGGAAAAAGCATCCAACAAAAGTAATCTCACAGAATGCTACCCTAATTTTCGAGCATTCTCCAAGTACTTATACGTTTTCCCAGTATTTCCTTTCTATAAAAGATATTCATAGCGTATAAGGATATTCACAGCGAATTAATTAAATGCTTTTCATTGGTAGTAAATCTATTGACTACTTACTTCAGATTTGCAGTAAACACTGAGTTTTTATTCATGCTTTCCCAAGTGTTTGAAATAATCCTTGCCCTTGCACTGAAAATAGGAAATCAAGTTTCAGAACGTATCTTGTAAGCAAAATTTTTTAATATTTTAATTTAATTTTGCAAGTGAAGCATCATTCATGGACTTACTCATTCATTATGGATCATTTTTGAATTTTAGACATCTTTTGTTGGCTTTAAAAAGTTTATTAAAAGATAGATATTGAAATTATTATTGTAGTAGGCCATAAATTCTGTAAAACTTCATGAGCGAAAGGAAATATGTATTATGCATATTTGTAATAATATGTAAATATGTAAATAAATATAAAAATTTGCATAATATATAAATACACATTTCTGTCAGCATTTGCTCTTGTGTTTGCTTTCTGATTCTTTATGAAGATAAGAATTTAAGTGTATATTTGTATAAAATTCATGAAACTTATCAACAAACATACCTGGGTAGCAATGAATATGTAGGAGATAAATGGGCAATTCAATTACCTTAATTTTTATTGTACAGTTTCTTTAAAATTTTTAACATAATATTTGGTCTCTTGTTATCACTTTTGTTTTGTTTGCCTAATTAATTCTCCTATGTGGACAGATGTTAGATATGAAAGTGTTTGTCGACACTGATGCTGATATCCGCTTGGCTCGTCGCCTTCGTCGAGATATCTCCCAGCGGGGCCGAGATTTAGAAGGAGTTTTGAAACAGTACTCCACCATGGTCAAACCGGCATTTTATCATTACATAGCTCCAACAATGGTGCATGCAGATATTATTGTTCCCAGAGGAGGTGAAAATGAAGTTGCAATTGAATTAATTGTACATCATGTGCATACTCAACTTCAGTTGGTAAGTTATAGAACTACTTTACATATTAATTGATATAAAAAGCTTTCAATTAACATGTAGTCTTAACATTATTAACCATTGTTGCCATAGGTATGTCACCTGGATGTGTACCTTCCAAATGCATATCTTCATTATCCCTCTACTTTTTGTTCATCACAGCCATCCTGAAATGCAATTTTCCATTGAACAATAGTGAAATTCCTCTTTATTTCTGCATGGTAACATCTACGATATTTTGCTCTAATAAGCTAAGGGAAATTCATAAAGTTTATATTTTAATTCGTATTTTAAGAAATAATTTTAGTGATATTGAAAGGTTTTCATTAACAAACAGTACTGGGGGCTTAGAAACAAGTAATCAGAATCATAATAATTCCAATTTGTCATTCAGTACAATTACTCATGTTTTTGTTTGTTTCAGCGAGGATTTAAGTTGAGAGAAACTTTGGCTCATTCATACATTGGTCAACCTCTCCCCAGCTCAGTTTATTTGCTGCCTTCTACTCCACAGATCAAGGGGCTGCATACATTCATTCGTAACAAAGACACTCCTCGGGATGAATTTATATTTTATTCCAAGAGACTTATTCGACTTGTAATTGAATATGCACTCTCATTATTGCCATTTAAGGTTTGTATCAGCAACATTATGCAGAGTTGGTTTTATTTACTATATCAAAATGTTTCATATATACTGATTAAAACCAAATTTCTGGTTAAAATATAGTGCACTATGTCTTATCACATTTAATAACAGACACTTAATTATTTGCACTTAAATTGCATTGGTAACTTATCATATTAAATGAAAATTAAGTTGTAATTAACAAAGTTTTTACAGAGATGTTTGTCATCAGAAAACCCTTTTTGTACTTTAATACTTTGTTTTAGAACTGAACTGAATTTTACAGCTCCAAAAAAATGTTGAGTGAAAATAATGAATTGAGTTAAAAAAATAATACCTAGAATAAACACACAAACTTTACTTTTTCCTTCAAATCTGAAATTTATAATGATTCCTTTTCAAAACCAGGATATAATAGATTTGAAGCATTATCTTTAAAAAATAGCTCCTTCTATTATTTACCAAATTAATTATTTTTTTTCAACTTTTCTTTATATAAAGAAAGGTTCTTCATAATTTCGTTAAGGTTTACATTCAAGTTCAGTCTTATTTCCACCTACAATGTAGAGAGAACATATCCTGTTTATATCAGATTAGATAAATTTTGAAAATGGAATGAGCTGGTTTTTGATTTTAAACAGCTCCTTTAGTTATTGGAATTGAATCTAATGTCAACTTTCAAGAGACTTTTGGGATAATTGGGCATGAGAAAAATTTGAAAAAATTGACAGTTTTCTTTTTAGTCATCTTCCTTTTTTCTTCAATCTATATAGATGTAAATGCGATCTCTTAATAAGATTTATTTGTACAATTTGACAGGTGTTGAAAGGTTCATTAATTGCAAAATTTTCAAGGGAATTCTAGAAAATGTTGTAGAAAGAGTTATAGAAACAATTTTCAACCTATTACTACTAAGGATGAATATTGACAGTGTTATCAGACTAATGTGTCACTATATAAACAACTTAAAAATTCATTCGTTAGATGAGGAAAATTATCATCATGTGACTTTTGCATAAGTGAAGTACACATAAAAGAATAGGTGAATAGATGGGCAAATGTATGAGGAAACTAACACAGATTAATTTCAGTGTACAGAATACATACAAATTTTGTGCACTGTCTGTACTGAAATCAGTGTTCATTTTTATAATATATACTGCCTTAATATAAATGTTTTGGTTTTATGTCAGGAAGTTGTTGTTGAAACTCCCCAAGGTGTTCTGTATCATGGAAAACGTTGTGCAAGTGAGAAGATTTGTGGTGTATCTATACTGCGGGCTGGTGAGACAATGGAACAGGCTGTATGTGATGTGTGTAAAGATATTCGTATTGGGAAAATTCTTATCCAGACTAATCTGTCAACTGGAGAACCTGAGGTACAGTAGGAATTTCAGAGGAATTACAAAATTTGTGTGTAAATAGCTGCAAATTTCTCATTGCAATACTTGTTTTCAGTTTTAGAAAAGATTTATGTTATTAGATTTGTAAATTTATTTTTTTAATTCATAGGTTTTCTTATTAATTTTATGAACTTATTATATTTTATGCTTTAGAACTGAACACATTATTTATTTACACGAGTACTGAGCTTATGCATTAAAAGAATAAAGCTTTTCATTGCATTGATTTTTAGCTATATTACCTGCGCTTGCCAAAGGATATTAAAGACTACAAAGTAATTCTTATGGATGCCACTGTGGCTACTGGGGCTGCAGCTATGATGGCTGTTAGAGTTTTACTGGATCATGATGTTCCAGAAGAAAACATCTTATTAGTTTCTCTTCTTATGGCAGAATCAGGTACATTCCTTTTTGTTGCCTTGTAATGATTGTTTTTAAATGTGAAATGATGAATGTTAAAAAAGATGCAAATGTAGATTTTTGTTTCATTTTAATTTTACAGGTGTACATTCTATAGCATATGCATTCCCTGGTGTCCGCATTGTTACAACAGCTTTAGATCCAGAGATAAATGAAAAATTTTATGTTTTGCCTGGCATAGGCAACTTTGGAGATCGGTATTTTGGGACTGAACCTTCCGAGGAAAGTTAGGTCATTGTATCACATCTTGAATGTTGTAGATAATATTTTTTCTTGTACATTCAAAGTATGGATGTAACTAGCACAACTTTCTTTATAGACCATCTCAGACTTGAACTTGAATTTCTCTGATAATGGACATTTATACATGCAAATTTGGCTGCAAACTTTGAAGTTTGGAAAATGTGATCTTCTACTTTATAACATCAAAGAATATTTATCAGGTTTATTCTTGTAGGAGTCATAGCATGGTCTGAAGCACAAAGGAGGTTGGTGGATAGATATTATGCAGTGAAACTTTTTTTTGCAATTATTCTTTGCATTTAACTTCTGTTACAAACTTGAATCGAAATCATAATAGTTATTTGATTGCATTAATTTTATGATTTTCGGATAATTTTAATAATATTTTGAAAATTAAATGTTTTTAATTTTTCATGTGTAAAGTGAAGTGTGGCAAATGTAGTTATATTTTAAGTGAAAGATTGGAGAAATATTTCTTTATTAGATCCATTAATAAGTTTTGTATAATGAATTGATTAGGTATTACCGATTTGATCCATTACTTTAGGGAATTGTGTTAAAATAGTATATTGCAATCTGAGGTGGTTTCAGCTTCTCTACTTTCAAAGAAGTTTCCTAAATAATTTTTTACTTCAAGGAGTTTTAGTTGCATTTTGAGAATTTGAAGTTCATCTATGCTGTTTTGTATTTAGTGAGTCTAAAGTACATTACATTTTATACTGAATGATCATTGTCTTTATATTTTTGGGAAAAGGATAAGTGAAAATGATAGAGTGCCCTTTTTAATATTATTTAATAAGGATTAATTTACAAGAAAAGGATGTTGTACATTAAGAGGATGGATTGAGGAAGAGAAAGAGTTAGAAGTTAACATTCTAATTTGTGACGTCAGGTCCTCTTGTTTAATGACTCCTGCTAAATAGCTGATGAGAATAAAGTAGTTGAGATTAAAGCTAATGAAGTTGAAACTCTGGCACAGGCTATAAGCTTAGGTCAGTAATTCTGCCCTAAATATCCTTGATGAATGATCCTAGTGTTTGTAGTCTGTTGACTCCTTGTGTAGCTCAGGGAACACTAACCTTTTTTCTTTTGGGAAGTTTTTGCTATTAGTGCATCTTCTACATTTGTGCTCAATTAATATTAAAATGGGATACAGCTTGCAGAATGTTTGTAAATGGTTCAATATGGTTGTGACCAAGTAATGGAACCGATTAGTTTTCATAAGAAATGCAGTCTATTTTTACAGTTTCAGAATATCTTGTCATAAATCAATAATCTGTTTAGAAAATGTTAAACCAGCAAACTGATTTTCTGTCATTGATGATACAAAAAATTAATTTGTTTTTCATTGGCAATTTGTGACTCCTACAGTCCTTCTAATACAAATCTTTATTCTTATGCTTATTATCATCATCTGATTGAGATAATTGTTATAAAAATTAGAAAAGTATGATTTTAATGTATTAACATAAATTTCTTTTGTTTTGAATCTCGTATAATAATAATCAAGATTAGGAATATGTTATAGATGATTAAGACAGTTGGTTAAATTCTTTTTCATACAGTTCATATTCAAGTAAGACAAATTGAAGTGATGATTTTCAGAGTATCTCAATGGCAGAAAGACAGAGGACCTTTGAAATTTAAATTAAATATAATGCTACTTAGCAATGAAATATGCTGTCACAATTTATTTTTTTAATTCAATGTTATTTTGAAAGTTTCTTTCATTTGCATCTTAAATAGTAACTTATTGTTATTTCTTTTATTTGGTCAACTAGAAGGAAGTTTTGTAAAATGAGGTTTCACTGCAGTAATCTTACAGCTATTGCTTGCTAATCTGTCAGAATGTTGGCTATATGATTGTCTCTAGTCTGAATTATGTTTCCTTAAGTGATAATTTTGTGGGACCTGTTACAAATACAGAAAAAAAGTGGAACGTTTGTGAGAGTGGTCGAAGGTTTGATCTTAAAAGTCCTATATAATTTATAATTTTTACATATCATGTAATTATTTGAGGAATTGTTTTTGTTGTGAATTGAAGATACTCCCTATTGGGAATATTAATGGCACAACCCTTTTGGTGCAGTTTTAACTGTGATTATTGGCATTAGTATTTTGATTTGATGATAATGATGGGTGAATTGATGCTAAATGGTTTATGATCGTATTCAGACATTAATTTGAAGATTTTGCATTTTATCATCCCTGAATTATTTGCTCTTATTTTTTGGGAAGAGATACATTACCATATCTATATGTATATTGTGATGATGTTTTGATGTTGAGCTCTCAGAGAAGAGGTTGCTTAGGTAGTTTATGTTTGCAGGCCTATTAATTTGGTGGATTTCTTTTGATGGGTTGTCTTCTTTGGTCACTTCAAGATATTAATTTTTTTGGGGTTTGTAATGTTACAACATCAAATGTTACCTTTTTGGGTTCTACGATGTTTTTACAATCTTGCATGATAATTAGTAGAAGTCAAGAAGAGGCATAACATGAAATAGAAGTATTTTTCTTGTTTTTAATTGCAAATTTAACATGCTCTGGACTGATTTTACCATAAAGTTGGGTATCACTATTATTTATAAAATCTTCCTTGAAATAACTTTCCAAAAGTACTTGGGAGCTATATTGTTCTGAAGGCCTACAGATGGTGTGGAAAATAATTTAGATACTATTCAATATATTTCTAAATTCTGTAACACAAAATTAAGATATTGGTTTTCAAAATATTATGAAAAAGGCCTATTTTATATGAAACTCATAGTGGACTTATTTCTTTTATCTTCATTGTACAGCTTTGGTAATGGAAAATATTAAAATGTTGTTAAATATTGTTATGACATAAATATTTCTTGTAAATTTGTCTCAAAAAATTGAATTTCTCTCTCTCTTTATTGTGAATCATTTATAGGAAGTAGTTTGGCCCTTGAAATGGTTTATGAGATTTGAAATTCTATTTTTATTTCTTAATCAGTACTTTCTGTGAGCAGATTAAAACAAATAAATAAACTTTTGTTCTAAATGTCTACAGAAAGGAGTGTAAAGAATAGATTTTGAAAAGACAATCTGGACTAAAACATTTCAAATTTCAATTGAAAGTTGTCTTTAATCACTAATATTCTTTAATTGTACAAGCTATTAACTACAAGTTTCTAGTAGCATTTGATGCTTATTCTTGACTTATTTGGAAGAAACGATATATTTGTCTTTAAAGCCTTTGTGGAATGGGGAAACAACCTCGCTCTGAGTTCTTATACTATTACTGTAACATGAATGATAGCCACTGTGAAATGTCTGTAGTGTCAACAGTATTTCAATTGTCTCTGTAATAAACTTCAAATTGTGTGGTTAAACTTCAATGTCTACATTGAAGCCTTGTCTACTTGAATACCAATGATTTCGAATGCAGTAAAGTTGTCAGAACCAAATATTTTAGTGGTGTTTAGGGAAGGTGAAGAAAGACCTCTTTTTTGTCTTCATTTTTGGATTTTCCTAGTTCATTGTGAACATTGAATCTCTGCCTGTTAAATTTAATTTATAAACAAAACATCAAAATGAATATTACAGAATAGTTGTAATGCTGATGAAGTTACAAGTCAATGGACATTAATATGTTTGAGAATTGAAACTGTAACAAATAACATTACATCAATGGAAGTGAATGATTCACACACTAGTTACCATTTCAAGATAGGGACTTTGCAAAATTCGTTAAATGATGGTTTTTAATATTTTGATTTAAATGAACTTAGACTTTGTTGTGCTTTCAGTACTCAAATAATGGTTTCTTTTTTATGAAATTGCTCGTTCATCAAGAATTTGCAATCTGTTATACTATGCTTTCAGCATCTTGTTCATTGAAGAAAATTAGAGTAACCATCAAGTTGTTGCATGTCCTGGACATTCTATGGTTATTAATTGAAGTTGGTTTAAAAAATCTACTTCAAAATACCATCAAATGAATTATGTTGAAAATGAAATTAAATGATATAAATAGCATATGCTCTTTTCATAGCTGCTAGGAAAAATCTGAAATTTGTTGATTTCTGAAAATCACTAGATTGTTTGAAGATTCTGGAATATCATTCTGTTGCATTTGCTAGTCAGATCAGAATTGCAGGGGATTTGATAAATATGTTATCTGTTATCTCTCATAGTTGAATTCATATTGACAACTGTGATGGCAGGTCCACACAATCGCTTTAAAAAATTATGGATGGGGCTGGCCCTTCTTGTAGAAGCCATTTTGGTGTCAATTATCTGTAATTAATGATAACTGTTTTCAGTTATTTTACCATAAAAAATGTCAACATGTTCTGCAATGTTAACTTGACCAAAAGTTAGTATAAGTGTAATTTACTTTACTTTAATTTTTTTCCTTGTGGTGTTTTAAACCACAAGTATCACTTTACAAGTAAAGATGAAGAATAGAATAAGAATACTGTTTATTTGGTACATTTTTTTTAAGTTTAACATTTTTTCCATCACTGAGATTTGTTTTGTGTTATGGCCAGTAGCAATTCTAGTTACACTGCTTATATGAAGAGTAAGGGGAAAAAGCATAATTGGTTATGGTAATGCTACATATTACTTACCCTGTGTTTATAAAACTGCATTATGTGCATGCATTGAAGAAAGTAAGATAAGCTATATGTTAAAAATGTTTAGCTTAAATTAAATTGTAACATTCAAACACAAGCCACACTGTATGTAAAGAATAATATTGGGCAGAGAGTCTTTGCTTTTGCAAGTAACTTGTTTTCATGTTCTATTTGAGAGGTAGCTGTGGTGGTTTGTGTGTTTCAATTTAGGGTGCAACCTATTTGTTTAAATGTAGGACAAGTTTTTTGGGGTATTTCTGTCTAGTCCAGAAAGCCAGTTATTGTTGTATTTGTATGATTTTTCTTAGCATCGAATGTTAATTTAAAACCTTTGTAAATTAGTTCTTGCAGTGGGCGTTACATGGGAATGGAAGTACTTTTTCATAAAGTTTGTGATCAGATAATTTTGATTTAATTTAGGTACATTAGTAATTCTAAATGTAGTAGGTCATAGACATTTTTTGTTTTTAGTTTTACTGTTCTAGTTCCTATTTAATTTTAATATGTTGCTCTGAAGAAGAGTTAAAGAAAACTAAAATGTTATTGTATAAGTATTTGTTTTGAAAGTGCTTACATGATATTGGTTCTTGAAGCTATGTGTAAATTATGGTAAAGAACTCTTGCCTTTCATAGCTCAGAATGTATTGGATAATAAATCAAATATGATCAAAAGGCTATTTTAAGAAGTCAAATTGCAAAGAAGTTGTAAGAATAAAATTTGTAATAATATGCTATAAGAATCAATGTACACAACTGACATTCCCAGAATATGTGGGTTTGAATTTTGCTTTGTGTAGATGAATAAATTATCCAAAAAATTATTGTTGTCAATCTCCAAGTGCTTTCATTTTAAAGGAACAAGTAAATTATTAGAAAAAAAGATGACTAATAGAAAATTGAGAATGTATGTGATGTTTACTGAATTTTTATTGAATACAAACAACAACAACAAAAAAAGTATTTGATGAAAAGTGTATGTATGTCAAATTTGTGCTTGTTTGTGTATGTAGTGTGTTCTATTAACTATTTTTTATGTCTTTTGGGAGTAATAATACATTACATTTAGACATGTTAAACATTTGTTTCCATGAGAGAGATGTTGGGTGTTCTTGTTTCCTTGCAGTGATTTATGCATCTTAGAGTTCTCTTTCTATTTATATATTTGTACAATTTGTTTTGCCTTTTTGTAAACATTTCTTGAATACAAGTGTATTTCACAGTATTGCTCTGTAAAATTATACAAAATAAAGTTCATTAAATTATCAACTGTTGTATTTATTGTAAAACTACTACAGGTATCGAAAGTAATACAAATTGTGAAGAAATTACCTGTACTAATTATCTGCATAACGACCTCTCTGGCTTTTCCTTTAGTACAATGAGAACACACTAGTGCTACAATAGCACATACTTTCTCACATTATTTGTGACTTCTTTGCGGCCATTGGATGGATGCGAGTGATGCGTCGCATCCTTTCGTTAATCGTCAAACCTCTTTGATACAGTACTACCTCTAAAATGCTTTGAATTCAATCAACTCTGGCTACAAATGAAATTGTTATTTATCATTGCGGCGGTTGCTTTGGAAATTGTCGACTCGTGAGGGGATTTATCTGAGAATTTCCAAAGCACAAGTGGTATTTAATCGAACTATTCCACTTGTGAAATTATGTCCAAACAGGTCCAAATTTTCCAAATGTTGAAAATAACTTAAAGTAATATTAAAATCAAAGATGTTACGTTATAAGCTGTGTATTGGACATCGACATAGAGATCGATGTCCAATATATCGTCATCGACATGGTCGATTCCGCCACCTAAGATAAAGTAACCAGTAGGTAGAAGCGGTAAGAAAAATCGGATAGAAGAAACGATAAACTTTTTGAGATACACCACCGTAATTGGGGCATCTTGTATGTATAGGTAACTCTATTGGTTTCAGTGGAATAGTTTACCTAATTTTTTATTCGAATACGTAAAATTGGCAACCAAACGCTATGGACTTGCTATCAAATGCAAATTAACTAATAAAGATTTTTAGAGAGTATTTTTTCGAAGAAAGACTAGAGTAACAGCGTTAATTTTATGTCTGTGTTTTTATACAAAACATTGTAGTTAATTTACGTAAAATATTAGTGGTACTTTCGTTCTTCTTAAAAATTACAGCCCCCTAATTATTGAAATTTTGGATATTCAACTGTATAATATCTGTTTGAGGGCCAGATAAAAATGTATAATTTGCCCTCGTAAAATATCGAGATACCAAACTGCAGTATAAAATTTAAACTTTCAAATTCAAATGTCGGCACAGTTTGCGTCACGAACCTCGTGACTAGAGTTCGGGCACTTCGAAAAACCCAAGTTATGATATAACTTTGCTCTTGGCCTAGACGCCCGCCTTTCATCAAGGAGTTCCGGGTTCGATTCCTGTTGATACCCGGACAATCTCATGTGAAATGTGTTCCAACAAAAACGAGTTTAGCTGCTTCACAAGGGCTAGTCCAACCTCCCGTGAAGTGTCCTAATTCCTTCCCGGTGGCGCACGAGCGCATAGGAGAGAGGCGCGTAAGCTCCAAGGAGATGCTACCTGGCGGTCCTCTTGACAACAACGTACGAACGACGACTGCTTCTTGGGATTTAGTTCTTGGCGCGCGAGGCCTTGTCTTCAAGATGGAATATCTCACGATATTTCTCAGCCGTGCCACTAGATGTCGCATGATCGCCAGCACTGCTCGAAACGTACACAAATATCCCCATTCCCGAGGCGGGATTCAAACCCGCAGTCTTCTGGTTCGAGATCGAGATCACTACGGCACTACTGCCCCAGCGATCTCAGCCATCTCGACCGGCTCTTGAACTAAAATATTGAAGAGAAAGATTTATTTCCTTAAAGAAATCTGTTCTTTAAAGACTATTTTGAAATAAGGTCATTTTACGAAAGTATGAGCATTTTTTTCATAATATTCCGAGAATAATAGGCATTTTTTAAATTTTAAACTTTTTTCTTAAAAACGATACAATTTTTTTCATTTAATATTTTTTCCGTACGCAGCAAAAACAGCAAATAAAGTGTTGGTGGTCGCACTTTTCGCACTCTTATATTTTCGATAATTGCAAAAAATTTGAAATTGTAATCGCACGTTTCGTTTGACGCTGTCGCAATTCGGAAAATGTCAACATGGCGGATTTAAATTATTCGAATACCTCTCATTTTTACCGGCCGTGATCGTATTTCATAATATTCTTATGAAAGGTAATAAATTTAACTCAAAATCAAGATCAGTGAGTTATTGCGCATCATTTTCGACTTAAGCCAATGAGCTTCAGGTGCCAGTTTGCATCACAATAACAGCATGAATTTTAAATTTAACCAGATACCAAAATTATTTTGTTAGCAGTCATTGAAACAAATATATTAAACATTAAAATAAGATAACATCTATTTCAACTACACCTTCATGGTGATATTTTTCGTTGAACATTTTCACTTTAACGCGTAATTCTAAATTTTTCTCAACACTTTTCGCTCTCCGTGCAACAAGGCAACGTCTCTGGTCTGGCTTTTCAAACGAAGTGCCCGTGCTGTGGTCACGTGGACATGACGCAAACAGGTGCTGTGCAGAACGAGCAAAATTGGGAGCACTGGAGTCCACCCATGTCTTTCCACCATGATCAGAACAAACAAATACGCTTCTTTCACTTTAAGGTTTGATGGATGATTATGGTATTCAGAAATTGTTAGCTCACTTCGATACAATCAAGGTAAGCTTGTGTGAAATTATTGTTTCTTTTCGGTATAATACTGCTTACATCTCTGTATAATGCTGCAAATACTGCAACGGTTAAATTTATTCATGTTTGTTTCATTGGTAAAAAGTAATAAAAAAGTATTGTTCCTGACTATCGAAATAAAAGATGGACACCACAGTTGCTTTGTTTGAATTGGACTTTTTCAAGTTATAGCTTACTAGGGCCGAACTTACGTTTTATTACAACGTAAATATTTCCAACGAGGTGAGAAAGTATGTACTGTTGTACACCTCTAGTTTGTGGAATACATTTAACACCCATATACGTTTCATTATGTTTGTGAGATACTACACCTCAATTTTCTGAACCGCGAGAGATGGTTCAGGGCATCAACTGATGTCACTGCAGTCACCCGAATCGGCAGGTCCTAGGCTCGAGTCCCGTTGGTGGCAGGATTTTCGATTCTAGCTTGTCAGCTAGATGAAGTTAAGTCGCTGTCTGGAGAATTCTAACGGCCGGCTGCTCTAATCGGTAGTTTGCCGTGGTTTCTCCGATCAACACCAGGCGAATGCATGAGCAGAACCTTACACAAACGGGCCACGGGGGCGGGCAATCTTTCATACCTCTTCTTAGTTCTGCCCTCTCCTCTTACACACACTAACTTGCACTACACAAGCATATGCCGGGAGACCGGTCGAGAGCTTAGAGCTTGTCCCGGCTGGAGTGGAGCCCAACTGATGGGAGATACCTGGTTGGGGAAACCCCGCTAGCAGACGGTAGGTCGGCGCCGGATCACGCCATGCAGCGTGGAAATGAATCCCGCCTCATCCCAAGCAAAAACATGCACGGTACTTACGGGACTAATGACGCTGATAGATGACGTGCCAGGAATCAGTAAAATAATCAAACAACGCGATTTTCCCAAAAAAGATCCAAATTGGATTGAAAAAGTGAATGTTTGAAGATATCTTGTTCTTCTTCGACGGTTTCTACCGTCAAAAAAATTGGATAAACCCTAGTCTAATATGTAGTCCTTGCCTCTTACCTTCGCCCACGTCATTCGTCTTTGTTATTCATCTTAGCAATTCACGTTAGTCATTCATCCTCGCCTTGGTCTTTCGTCTTCCTCTTTCGTCTTCTTTTACCGTCTCTGCCTTTCGTGTTCGTATTTCGTCGTCTTCTTTCTTATTCGTCTTTCGTCGTCGTTTTTCGTTTTCGTCTTACGACTTCGTCTTTCGACTTAGTCTTTCGTCACCGTTTTTCGTCTTCGTCTTTCGTTTTTGTCTCGCATCTTCGTTTTGTACCCTTGTCTTTTGTCTTTCTTTTCGTCATCCGACATCGTGTTTCAACTTTGCCGTTTTTCTTCTTCTTTCGTTTTCGTCTTTCACCTTCGTCTTTCGTATTTGATTTCGTTTTCGTCTTCGTCTGTTGTCAAACGTATTCGTCCATTGTCTACATCTTACGTTTTCGTTTTGCGCATTTCAACTTTTTCTTTTGTCCACGTGTTTTCTTTTCGTCTTTCGGTTTCGCTTTCGTCTTTCATTTTCGTCTTTCGTCTTCGTGTTTCGCCTTCGTGTTTCGCCTTCGACTTTAGTCTTCGTCATTAGCCTTCGTCTATAGTCTTCGTCTTTCGCTTCAATTTCGGTTTTCGTCTTCCGTCTTTGTCTTTCCTCTTCGTCTTTAGACTTTGTCTTTCATTTACATCTTTCGTCTTCGACTTTTGTCTTAATCAATCGTCTTCGTCTATTGTTTACATCTTTCGTCTTCGTTTTTGGCAATTCGCGTTTTTGTTTTGTTCACGTGTTTCGTTTTCGTCTTTCGGTTTCGCTTTCGTCTTTCATTTTCGTCTTTCGCCTTCGACATTAGTCTTCGTCTTTAGTCTTCGTCTTTCGCCGTCAACATCGTTTTTCGTCTTCGTCTTCCGTCTTTCATCTTTCACTCCTCAGGGAAGTGTCTTAGGACCCTTGTTATTTATAGCCTTTATCAACGATCTACCCACTTCTATTG